CGTTTAGTAACGGATAATTGAGCATTAATCGAAATACTGCTCAAATCTATTAAGCTTTCACCCGAACCGGGAATTAAAAATTCTATAGGAGATGTCTGGTTACTTATGGAGGCTATGGGGAAAAGGATAGTCGGAGTAGTATGATCTATAGACAATTGTGTGGGGATTGTTGCGAAAAAAGCGAGCTCGGACTTCAAACATGGACAGGATGAGGGGTCCATTTATTCTTAAGAAAAAATATCGACTTCCTTCCTCTTCTTAATATTCTTTTGTTTTACGCTTTTTCTTCGACGTTTTCGTTTTTTACCCGACCCGCTTTGAACTTTTTGAATGACGTCATCTCTCACTCCTTCACCTAGTTCTTTTATACGTGTTAGGGCGGAATCTTTTAACGATTTCCCGCTGAGTAAATCGGATCCGATATCTTTTGCCATATTTAACGCTTTCTTTCCAATATATTTTCCCGCATCTTTTAATATTGGAATTGCTTGTCTGAACACGTCTCCAAAAAATCCGTATCCTCTTTGGATCGGACGACCTTTAAAGTATTGTCCGTATCCCGATTGAGGGGTAAAATAACGGGTGTGCGGATATATAGAATCGGGATAAAAAAATCCTCCCGCCTGCGATCGATAATAAGCGATACAGTCCTCTGGTTTAAGCTTCATTTTATTAAATAAATGATTCTTTTGTGAAAATGGATTTTTATACTCGTCTAAAACATAATACCAAAAGCGATTTTCCAGAAGTAAAAATTATGTTTTCACCCGTGGATGAGCGCAGATCTATAGATATAGTCTCGATGTGATTGGTTCGAACGGGAAAAAATAATGGAGTGTTATAAATTTTATCAATTTGTTGTTCTTTTTCTCCCATGAGGGGAATTACTCGAAACAACGGAGCCGAAGTATCCCCTACATGATGAGATTCTATTATATTAGAATATACAAATATTTCCGTTATTCCAGCGTTTAATTCTAAAGGATACGTCCCTATAAATTCTCCTTCGGGATATTCTAATTGATCAAATCCTAATATATCTTTTAATTGTTTATTAAATTTGACTGAAGATCCCCGTGGAATTTTCAATAGTAGCTTTTTATCCGGAAGCGATTTAAAACTTATTATCTGAAATGCTTTAAGAAAATCTTTTGTTCCGTATAATCCTCTCGGTATTTGTAATATATTTTCAACATTTTCGGTTCTTATTTCTTCTACATACCTATTTTTCTCGATTAAAGTAAAAAATTCTCCACTAAAATCTTGTAAAGACGGAGTATATCGAAATGTTAGTTCTTCTTCTCCCTGTATAATGAACGGATTTTGATTATCTAAATTCAGCATAGAGAGAAATATGCCACCACTATCTGGAAGTAAACGCAATTCGCAATCATTAGCGACGTAAATTTTTACAGTGCTATCCTCTTTGTTAAAAGAAAAATTAATAAAATGATCCTTTTTCAAAGCTTTCAAATTATTCGTAATATTTTCGAATATATGACTCGAGTTGTTTCCTTGCATAGGTTGTAACGGAATTAGAGTAGATAAATCTTCGGCTCTTATTTTAATCAATTTCATTTCCTTAGTAGTAATGACGTATTTGTTATTTTCACTAGTGATATTAAACCACGAACGTGGTATTATTATTTGGGATAAACCCACTTCCCAAGATCCTGTTAAATTTATCGGTGGATTAATTTTCGATGTGAAGGAGGATTGAGTATTTTTTGGAAAAAAATCCATACTCGCGGTGCTTATTAGAGTCACATAAAAATTATCCATTTTTTACTTTCTGCAATTCTTCGTTATAAAAGCGTCCTTTAATCGTGTTGTTGTTATAATCTTTCAGGATATAAGTAACTGGATTGGTAGGATGTTGTTCTTTTATAATGAAAATTTCCTTACTCCATCCGGGTAAATAACCTCTCGTAAAAGTTTTTCGTTTTTTAGAAACTCTAACTCTATCATCGATTTTAAATTTATATTTTATTTTAGTTTTCGTTTTACCATAAAGTCGATTAAAAATTTGCGAATGATGTTTGGGTTTAACCTCTGCCGGAGACATTCCTATACTTCGATGCGTGCTATTATTATACGCTCGTACCAAATCGTTTAATTTATCAATATATTTATTGGAATTTCGATAAGTAATAAGACGATAAATTTTATTTTTTAAGGTCTTATTAAATCGTTCCACTATCGATGCTTTCGTTTCCGAATGAGTATAATAATGATTTATTTGATGTTTTTTAAATAAATCCTTAATAACAGAATTCATGAACTCCTTACCCTTATCGGTATGGATAAACCGAGGAATTATTTTTCTAAATATTTTTTGAAACGCTTTTTTTATCGTTTCCGGTTTTTTGTCTTTAACTGGAATTACATACGCATATTTAGAAAATGCATCGATAGTTGATAATAAATATTTTATTCCATTATTGACTTTCGAAAATTGTCGAACATCCATCAGATCGGATTGAAATAATTCTCCTTGATATAGAGCTTTAGTTTTACGACGCGTATAATTTATTCGTACTGGTTTATGTAGAGTATACGTATCTTGAGTCGATAGCCATTTTTCGACAGTTTTTCTCGGCAACTTTGTCGCTTTTACTAGGCTTGTTACGCCACCAAACGATGCGGGGTGAGATGGAGTGTAATAAATAGATCTCAATAATCTTTCCATGAAATATGCTTTCTTTTAGACGACGCAACTCGTTTAGGAATTTTTGTAGCAGATGCTCCGCCAGTTTTTTTCCTAACACTAATCAATCGAATCGGAGGCGATGGAATCGATGGTGATCGAAAACGAAGTACGGGGGATTCTCCTATTTTTAATCGAGTCGACAATGCTTTATTTCCAATCCATTCTTTGGGTATATTCGCTTTGATAATTCCATTCCAAAAGGTGTCAAAACCCGGGGGTACAATGGTCGATTTTCTCGTTCGCATAAGATAGGACATTAAATCTACTATGTGACTGTTTATTATTGGTTCGTTATTCACCACTAATTCTCCTTTTTCGTTCCAATCGTATTGGTAAGATTTTAATAATTGAATGATATGCGGAACATACTTTTGATATGCTAGCGGTATCGAGACTGTTATCTGATCTTCGATAGACGATGGTTTTGTCGGTTCGGGCAATTGTTGTTGAGATTCTTCGGTTGGTTGCGATGTTAAAGAAACTCGAATCGGTTCTTTCGGTGCATGGATAGTTTGTTTAAATCTCGAAATCAATTGACTTAATAGTTTAACTTTCAAATCATCCGTCAAAGTACTTTCTTCTAATAAATCTTGAATATTATCGTGTAACCGTATTTCCGGTTTTTGTAATTGATATTTAGGTATCAATTCAGGTGGTAGTAGCGCCATTCGTTGAGCCATTAGAATCCAAAAAGTTTTTTAGCTAATGATATTATTGGACCTAAAATTGCGTCTAAAAATCCTCCAGATTGATTTACCAAAATCTTCTTTTTTGCTTGGAGAGCTATTTTTTTATTTGCGAGTTTCCGTATACATCCTTTATATTTTTTTAACTTGTTCACATTAACGGGCAAACGGCCTTTAAGCGTGTTGTCGCAAATTTCGCATATGACTTTTATTTGATCGGGGGAAGCTTCTTTTAACAAAGCCTTTCTCTGAGCGGGTGTTGTCTTTGCAAGCACATTTAACAAATGATAATTTTTTTTAATATTCGTCATTTTTGTGGAATATAAACCCAATACACGCCTTGGTTGTCGGGAAAACACGAATCCCTCAAACACAATTCCTTATCCGTGGACGGGTGGAAATCGATTAATAAATAACCGTACGGTTTGGATGTCGCGGTTAAATATGCATCTTTAAAGTATTTCGTTCTACCTATAAACGCTTGACGAGCGAGACAGTTGATTTGACTTTCATCTCTGTTATTCTTAAATAATATTAAATAATGAGTATTTAAACTTATATCTCTCATTACTTTATTACGAGGAAATAAATTTTGCATTATCAATATAACACTTATATTTTTATGATGGGATTGAACGGTAAATAATTCGGCAATTTTTTCGGTTAAAGAATGCATTAAATCATCTATAATTATTAAATCCAAATTTTCGATGTTTTCGGGAATACCGCATTTAAAACGAATATTTTTCTCTTCCACGAACCACGGCTGAAACATTGAATAACACCACATAACTCTTTTTAACGGTTTTTCGTAGATATTTTCACGCAGCATTTTTCGAACTAAAGAAGTTTTTCCAGATTGAGACGGACCGACGACAATACAACTCGACGGATGTTTTAAACGCATTTCGTACAAAGTAAGTTAAATTCTTTCTTTAATAATTGCACACCGATATATTTATGAGGTAGTCCTTCGCTCGTAAATTTTCGAATATCATATACAACTCTTCCAGCATTCGTACATTTATGTAAATAAACGTTTCTATCTAAATGTAAAGAATATTCGCAAGTAGTATTTTTTATATCAATTTCCTTAAAATCCGATCTACATAATAACACTGAAAAACCAATCGTTAACGCAAATAATTCTAAACAGGTTATAATAGCGAAAGCGATTAATATATTACGAGACATGATGTAAAAATAACGTTTAAAACCAAAATCATTGCGTATTAAAACAACACAAAACGACTAGTGCGCATGCGCGTATTAAAATAACACAAAACTACTAGTGCGCATGAGCGAAAAACATAATAAAAAAACTAGATAGCGAATTCAAAAATTAATTCATTAGAAAAATGGGAGAGTCAAGTACATGCGTGTCGTCGTTCGGTTGGAGAGCATTTTTTCCAATCAACGAAAAATTATTAGTTCCCTACGCTTTCTCTAATGGTAGCTTCTCAAGCATCGAATTGGCAGAACACTCGGCTAAATCGCAAAACTTTCCACCATCCATTAAAATTCTATATTGCGTGGATTACCTACCACGATTTATACCCAAGGTGAAACATTTCCGATGGCTGCTTACATCGAAGGAATCTTATCATCATCAAAGCTTAGAAATTCTATCGGAATCTAGCAAAACCTTTAACAATTTTGAAGAATGTTTCATCGATTCGGAAAAACATAATCCTCATTGTGGACCCGAAAATAATATTCCGAAAATGTATTTCGAGTATAAAAGTGAAAACCAATAAATATATATTTTTTTAAATTTCGTGTCTTGTTTTATTTAATAATATTTTTAGGTTCATTTAACTAAAACCGGTTTATTGGGGAAAAACGCGATTGCGTCATAAAAGCGATTACGTCATTTTTAAAGTTCGCTGACCTAAAACAAAACCAAAACCAAGCGATTGCGTCATAAAAAAATTATATAAAAGCGAGACAAACAATAAAACTAATCATTATTCGTATTACTATCGAAAGAAGAAGAAGGACTATTTTCATATCATAATGAACGGAAACAACGCAGAGATGATAGCTCGCGAAGTAGGCCCGAATTTTGATTGGAAAGATTTTTCTAGATTAAATTTAAGCGAAGAAGTAATAAGACGACTTGAAGATAAAGTCGATTGGGACATTATTTCTGAAAAAACTAATCTTAGTGACGAATTTATTAGAGATTTCCAACATAAATTAAATTGGAATAAAATTTGGAAAAACAAACGCTTCTCCTCCGATTTTATACACAGATATGTTCAACGAGTTAACTGGGACGATGTTTGTCGTTATCAACAGCTATCAGAATCCTTTTTGACTCAATATCACGATCGTCTAAACTGGAATCTCGTATCTCAATATCAAAAACTGAGTCAAAATTTCATATTAACTTTTAAACATTTCCTGAATATGAAGCTTATTTGTCAATATCAACAATTGCACGAAGAAATTATTAGAGAACTTGATAACGTTGTGGATTGGGACCTTATTTCGAAGCACCAAGAATTATCCGAAAAATTTATGGAAGATTACAAGCATAAACTTAATTGGTGTATTGTCATTGCTAATCAGAAACATTTATCAAACAAATTTGTATCGAATAATTATCATTTTACTCTGATTTATGTTTTATCGAAAATATGCGAAAAGTTATAATTTTTTTTCTAAAAAATAATTTTAACATAATCTTTATTTTTTAAATATAATTAATAAAATTTATACTCTTATGTTTTTTGTATAATCTTCAAATTAATATATATCATTGTAACCCCTTATTCTTTATTCCAATAAAAGAGAGAAAAAAGAAAAAATCGTGTCGTTTATTTAATCACCGTCGCGACACAATAAATACCGTTAAAAAATCGATAAATATCGAAATAGCAAATAGCATGATCCGATTAGTGACGGTACATGTTATTTGTTATTTCTTTTAACATCTAATTTCGAAAATATATTAAAAAAATATTTAAAATAATATATTTCTTAACAGATGGCGCCACTCGCAAAAAATCGTCGTTAATAAAAAAAATAAAATATTAGTTCGCTTATACAAAAATAATAATAGTTCTCTTATATATAAAGAAAAATAATAATAGTTCTCTTATATATAAAGAAAAATATATATATACATAGAACCGTTAAAAAAATATATTCGTACTTAAAAATTACTCTTATAACGGAGCGATTTATTCCAGAAACTCTCGTTCAAATCTCGCGGAGAAGTATAACCGAAGGGGCATCGAAAATGGGTGTGGTTTCGACTCCTATGAGAGTTTCTGGGATGGTAATTATCTCGGAATCGGTCGAGAGATTCTGCGATTTTGCACGATTTTAGCCCCTGCTCGACGTCTTTCCCTCAAAATCGTGAGAGTTTCTGGAATAAAAGTTATAAACCTCGCGAAGTTAACCAAATTATCCCAGAGTCTCTCATATATATACTACTAGTATGTTAGCCGCATTAATTCTGAGTTGTATCTAACCGCATTTAACTTATATATTGTTATCACCTTATGTATCATAGCTTAGCCAATGAATAAATGTTTGTTATTTTTGTTGAAGCTGTCTCCTGTCATTTAAGGATGCCTGTTGACTTACCGCCGCACTCCCCACTCGATTTGCCCTCCTAGCCATCCAACGACCCCCGAGATCGGGTTTTACCAGCCTGTGCAGAGTAAGTGGTCATTTGGGGATTAACCAGTGACCTACTGCTAATCTCACAATTGTATGATTCCCACTTGTAATAATACACATCTAAAGATAAAATTTGTGATTTTAAAGGTATGTTATGTGCTACTTGTATAATTCACAATTTTTTAAATTCATATATTGGGTTATGGTGTATGTAAAATTGGTTTTATATGTTTTAGTTCACTGAAGAAAAGCGAAATGAAACCCGAAACGTGTGTAAAAACACGTATCGACAAATATTGAAATAAAAGAATGAATAGTGCCAAGTGATTGTTTTTACAATACATTGCGTTTATAAAACAAAGATACGACATGGTTTCAAAACACAGAAGAATTCTTCATAAATTCATTTTTGACACCGACAGCGATTGGTCAAGCCGAAAGTAAATAAGAAATTTCAATAGATTTACATTTGCTTTAGACAGTGATGATTTTAATAAGAAATTTAAAAATATAGAAAGTAACTTTTCCTTGAACGAGCTAATTACGATTTTTAACATTTTAAACATATATTTTGAAGACAATAAGGCAGAAGTAACGAAGAGAATTCTAACTGATTTGTGTGTTTTGAAATCCACTAAAACAAGCTTTGATCGATAAATTCTGTTTTGAAATTAAGTGAGCTACATTGCATGAGCTTTAGAGTAAAGCTTTGTTCACACTGAACATGATTCGCTAGCGAAAGCGAAAAACAGAGCGAATAACACATCAGACATGACGTCGTTTCCGGCGAATTTTACCATTTCGCGAATTGCTTCGAAGTTCTGAACTGTCAAGCTTTTTCGCTAGCTAAAAAATTTCGCACCAATCGTATTCCCGCTAGTTGTCATGTGGTTCTTGTTGTTTTCAAGACAACTACAGAAACTTTCTCACACAATAGATTACATGTTGTAATTACGGATTTTGATATTTCTCTCACCCAGCATCATTTTCTTTTTGACTTATTTTTCTTTCTCAATAAATAAACAAACGTGGTTAACGATGGAATATTGGAAGCAGCCATTTTGTTTTTCGAGAAGACGTTTTCACTCGCTTGCAAATGATTGGCTGTTTAAAATTCGCAATCGCTTTTCGCTTTTGGTTGTAGGGTCAATTTCGCTAAGCGAATAAAAATCGCTTTTTTCTTTTCACATTCGCTTTCGCTATTCGCTCAGTGTGAACTAAGCTTAAGTGTGCAATGCAGGACTCTGAATCCGTTCGGGAATATTATTTAAAGATGAAAGAGTTGTGTAATTTCAAAAAAATAGATGACAGTGCTTTAATTCATTATGTGATTAAAGAGATTTATGGTAAACATGAAAACAAATTTTATACAAATGTAGACTTGTCGGTATTTAAAAAAAAAAAACACAAAGTTTATGAAGTAATAAAAAGTGATTCTGTTAAGAGTAAAGGTGCTTTTGATAGAGTGAAGCCTAAACATGATTCTTACAATAGAAATAATAACACTTTTGATAAAAACAAACCAAGGTACAAAAATTATAGATCTAATGCAAAATGCGAAAATGAGAATAAAAATGACAAGGCAGGATAGTTGTGTTGATAATCGTGGTAATAGAATTTGTTATAATTGTGGTTTGAAAAATCATATTTTTAAGTATTGTATTTATAGAGATAAAGGTTTAAAGTGTTTCCAGTGAAAAGCATTTGGCCATAAGGCTTCTGAATGCCCAAGGTCAAATTCAAAAACGAAGTTGCCACTTTAGACGTTACTATAAAACCGAAATTGTTTAAAACTATAGTAATTGGTAACATAAGTATAAAGGCAGTAATAGATACTGGAAGTCAAAATATAGAACAAACGAAATCAACTCTGACCAAATTAATAGAATTAATGCCGATAAGATTCCTACCGAGGACCCAGACCGAAAAACGACAATCAGGAAAAATTATGTTAGCATTACCCGACCAGGAGGAATCAGTCACATCCCTCGTCAAAGTAAAAACAATCCCCACGCAAATGAGATGAATGTAGAGCTAGCGTGAAGGGATCCAAACTCCTCAATGGATTAAAGGATCCAGACTCCTCAAGCATTCGTTAGGCAGAAAGAAAATTTCATTCAATTGCTTTTTTCCTTTCATTTAGAACCACAAGTACGGCGAAAGGCCGACGAACTGCGGCAACCACTATCTTAGTGTACATAGGACAAACTTCAACAACTAACTAAATAAAGGACCCAACGATAGTTGCCATATTTGAATGTCCCATGTGTTACGAGTACTTGAATCCCCCGATACACCAATGTCAAGCAGGGCACTTCGTCTATTCAAAGTGCAGAGAAAGAGTTCAACGATGTCCAGTCTGTAGAGGAGTAATGGATAGAAGTAGAAACTTAGTTCTAGAATGACTGTCAGAAAAAATTGCTTTTCCATGTAAGTACCGAGATAATGGATGCAATGAAAGCCGACTTTTGCAAGATAGACAAGTCCATGAACGATATTGTCCGTTTAAAACTTGCTCATGTCCATCTTTGGAAGCATGTCGATGGGAAGGTACTTATCAACAAATAATCGGCCATATTACAGAACGACATTCTACCATGATAAATCTTAAGCGTGACACTGTTCGTATGATCATTGTTGGTTCAAATTTATATCGTGAATTTAACTGGACAACCCGGCTGTATTGTTATTATCGACATTTCATCATACAAGTGATTAAAACCAAAGGAGAAAATAATTCATACACCATTTATATTATAATTCGAATAGTAGGAAATATAAGAGATGCTACACGTTTCATCAGAAGAATTGAAATAATAGGGAAAGGTAGACGCATGCTTTGGGAATCGATACCCAAAAGTGTGATGGGAAATACACAACACATTATATCAACAGGAGATTGTTGGACATTGCCTTTGACCATGTTAGAACGTATGCTAGAAAACGGAATGTTGACAGTAACTATCACAATCATTCCCTCCAGAACCCCAAGTAGTTTTAAGTGAAATTTTTAAAGGAAAAAAATGGGGGACACAACTAAACAGAAAAAAAATTTATTTTATGAAAGTTTACACGCCCATTCTTTTATCTTGATATGAAAGATTTCAATTGACTGTAAATCGTAAAAAAATTTTGTTCCTAGAAAAGAGAAATAAACTAAATTCGAAAAAAAAACGAAAAAAAAATTAAAACAAAAAGGTTAACAATAAGTCGTTTTCTATTTTCCCCTAGACGCCATGGATGATCTGGACTTGTCAAGATGGTATTGAAAGCCAGATTACGTCCAGTTTGAATCCTCACAAAGCTCTTCCGAATCTTCAGAAAATCTTTGTACCTTATCTCCTTCACTGGTACAAAAGGCAATCCTCCAAGTAAGAGCACAAAATGATGACCCCTCGCGGCCTCCAGCAATCGTCGCCATACCGTTGGAAGCCAAAATCGAGGACAAAACTCTAAGGGAAGAAGTTCAGCTGGTAAATAAGATGGCAGAAGCTCGTGCCCATCAATGGGCGGAAGAGAGAGAAAGAGAAAAACCCAGCCAGGAAAACAAAATTCCCCGAGAGAGAGAGAGAGAGAGAGAGAGGAAAGGAAAACCAAAAAGAACTTCCCCGAGAGAGAGATAGATTGAACAATCCCAAAGGGAAAGAAAGAATTAACAGACGACATACCCAATAAAAGAAAGTAAAGAAAAAAAAAAAAGGAAAATGTACGACTATCTTCTTTCCATTTGCTTGCTATGTTTTTTAATATGTGACTACATATGCAGATATATATGTGTGTATACATATATATGTGGGCTATACATGTATATAAGTATGTGTATAAATAATATAATGTTAAATCAAGCAAGCAAACAAAATTTATGATCCTATATACAAAAAAAAAGTAATAAAATGTTTGTCTTAAACGACATAAATAAAAATGTTAAATTTGAAAATGTATGTTTAGGTAATTCCTGATTTCGCAAAAAGAAAAAAAAATATATAGAGGAACAACATATGTAACGAAATAGTTGCAAAAACAAAAACGAGAAAAAGAAAAAACTTGTGCCTATACAAAAGACAAGAAATGTTACGCGAAGTATCAACCAATTGATCTTGTAACGCTTACATGATGTGACGATGAAGCACATTTCGATGTAACGCGAAACCAAACACGCGCGAGAAAAAAAAATAGAAAGCGAAAAACGATTGTTATTGTGATCTTATATTTCAAGAAGGAAGCGAACAGACAGTTTCCGAGGCTGCCAGAAAAATGTCGCTGGCCCCAAGTGACATTTTCCTTTGGGGTGGAGCCCTGTGAAGCCTCGAAAATAGCCCCCCCCCCGAAAAAAGAGAGAAATGTAAAAATTTGTTAAGTTAAATTGTCAAGAAAACAAATTATATAAGTGTCGAATCGACAATAGCAGACTTTGACATTAGTGCTCATATAGAATAACGAGAAAAACAAAATTTTAGAAAACAAAAAATAAAAATTTAAAAAGTTAAGACGCAGTTTAGAAAGTAAAACGAAACTAGAAAAAATATCAAAATGAGCGTACGTGTCATAGTCAACAATTAAACGCGATCAGATTCGAAAAGATGGTGTCGGATAAACCATCTCCAGCCGACCTTTCCCACGAGCTTTACAAAGCTCTATTTACACCTGGAGACAGGTGGATGACCAATTGGAAAACAGTGATGTAAGATCTATCCAATTAGTAACAAGCCAATCGCGAAAACCCTATAAAAGCATCAATTTCAAGGACAACAAGACTTCCACTGAAACTTCCACTAAGACTTCCACCAAGACTTTTCCACCTACACTACCTGTTGTGTTCATTTGTCGACAGCTGTCTTGCTTCTTTTCGTCTTTTGTGTGCCGTCACTTCAGATCTCGAACTTCTCACTCGACGCAGTCACGGGGCCCCTCCAGCGTAGGACCAGATCAACACCTAAAACAACTTACGAAGACAACCCAAAGTTCTGAACTTAAGGACCTTTGCCAAAAAAATTATGTAAGCATTATCGTCCGGAATAAACAGTTTACCTTTATAAAACACTTGTCTTTGCTGCCTGAACCGAGGGCGACGAGTCGCGAAGCTGTTGAGACGTGTGTGTGTGTGCTCTGTTTTCCGATCGCCGCATCGTGGATACCGTCATTTAATCAGTGGATTATTATACATCGCTGGAAACGTCTAGACGCCAGCTATACACATATGCAGATATATATGTGTGTATACATATATATGTGGGCTATACATGTATATAAGTATGTGTATAAATAATATAAATTTTGTTTGCTTGCTTGATTTAACATTATGATCCTATATACAAAAAAAAAGTAATAAAATGTTTGTCTTAAACGACATAAATAAAAATGTTAAATTTGAAAATGTATGTTTAGGTAATTCCTGATTTCGCAAAAAGNTACCGTCATTTAATCAGTGGATTATTATACATCGCTGGAAACGTCTAGACGCCAGCTATCGTTTGACGTCGGAATTTTCCGGATCTGACCAGCGGAACACGAGTTATGGACCTCGGAAGTTTTGGATTTTCCGGCCGCCATTTCCGGGTGGTTTCCACCGGTAAGTGGTAAAGTCGCATATCATTCTATTCGGGTTTTTAAGGGCTATCTATCGCCGTCGTCCGTTTTTCTTTCCGTAGTCTTGTTCGTGTTTTATTGAGACCGAAAGTTGGCCCCGTTCGGGCCGTTCTGCGGGCTTCTCGGGCCTCCGTCGTTCTTCATTTTCGGGCATTTCTTAGCTAATGAATCTATCTAAGTGTGTATAAATTTATGGGTCGGTATGATTATTAGTTATAAAGTTACGCTAGTTTTAAAACTTTCGGTGAACAAAGAGGTAAAAGGTCGTTGACCTTAGCACGTGGCCGGGTCAACANCATTTTCGGGCATTTCTTAGCTAATGAATCTATCTAAGTGTGTATAAATTTATGGGTCGGTATGATTATTAGTTATAAAGTTACGCTAGTTTTAAAACTTTCGGTGAACAAAGAGGTAAAAGGTCGTTGACCTTAGCACGTGGCCGGGTCAACATCATACTCGACCCTAATCCGGCGGTTTATTTCGGCTATTTTTCGGGTCGTTCTTGTCGCTCTGTATCGTGTCATATATCGTTCGGCTGCTTTAATTTTTCTCTTTTTATCTCAGTGGGTCTTAGTATTTAATTAACAGTAATTTTCTTTATTTTCTCTTCGGGTGTTTATCACTTCTGTCAGTGCCAGGATTTGTCTCCTGGGTCAGGGCCACTTGCCGCGGGCTCATATTAACATTATATCTCTTACTACGCTATTAAGGTTGGTTTTTCGCTAATTATAATCATGTCAACTCAAAACTTAATGTCTCATCCTGCGGATGCTTCTATCCAAAATTGTAAGGTAATGTCACTTCGCTTGAAGATACCATACTGAAAGAAGCCAACCAACACGTCCTTAAGATACTGGACTTGCTGCCTGAGAAATATAGCAACAACATAAGGACCGAAGAGAGAAAGGAGGTCCGTGATCGTGTCACCCGGCTCTTCTCGTGCCTCGGACAGTTTCACGGAATACTAAAGGAAGTAAGGTCTAAATCTGCTCTGCACCCTGCCCCACCCACTGTTGCTCCCTTAGCACAACCTGTCTCTTACGCTGAAGCAACAAAAATTAACATTAAGCCCAGCTCCACCACAATGGCCATCAATAAATCACTAAAAAACAAAGTCGGTATTGAAGGTACCGGAGGCAGCTTTGCCCTTTTACTCTACCCAAAACCTAACGAAGAAGGGCTACATACCAACATGAAACACATTGAAACTGAGATCAAGAAAAGGATTAAGCCACACGAATTAAAAATTAAGGTTAAATCAGTGCGCCAAGTTAAAGGTGACGGAATATGCTTCAGGACCGATAGCCAAAAGGAAGCTGAAATACTATCTGAGGCTATCAAAAAACATCCAGATATAGCCGGGAAAATACACAGTAAATTCTCCGAAGGTCGTAGGCCACGTATTATTCTCACTAACGTCCCAATTACTGTAGAAGAAGCAGACATCATACCCATGATTTATAATCAAAATGACATTTTTCAAAACACGACCATAGAAGAATTTGCCAGTGCCACAAGAATCAGCACTGTGCTATTCAGGAATAATAATAAAGAAAACTGTCGCCACATAGTAATCTCAACATCACCTAAGTTCAGAAACATTCTGGTTAAAACGAAACATATTGCTCTAGAATGGGCAAAAATTTATGTCAACGATTATATCCCATTGGTACGTTGTTACCAATGTTGTGGATACAATCATCTTTCCACCAACTGCCCCAATAAACAAAGATGCAGTCACTGTGGGAAAACTCATAAATTTAGTGACTGCAGAAAACTAGAAGATCCACCTCAATGCACGAACTGTAGAACTGTCAACAAGGAATTACCGGAATATGACAGATACGACACAACTCACAATGCCTTCAATCCACAGTGTCCACAGACCATCAGAATGAAAGCTCAGACCATCAGAATGAAAGCTCAAACCATCCGACAAACTAATTATGGGGTGTAGTCTGAAGCAAAAAGATTTGAGGCTTATCCAAATTAATTTACAAAAATGCAAGGCAGCAACAACCGATGCCTTTTATCAGGCCACAAACAGGAATTTAGACTTGATGTCTATCCAGGAGCCCTACGTCCTCAACAATAATATCGCCATGTTTGGAAACTTCCGTACCATCTACTCGCAAGAGCACAACAGTCCACCTAAAACTGGCTTTGTCATTATAAACGACAGCCTCGACGTCCAGCACCTAACTCAACATAGCAACAACTACTTTACTACAATCAGTGTCAACCTTAACAGTTCCACCTACATATTCATTTCTTTTTACTGTTCCCCAACTGATGACCTTGCTCACCCATTGGATCTTCTAGCTACTACCATCCAACAATTACATCATGCTCCAATCCTAATCACTGGGGACTTTAACGCAAAATCGCACACTTGGCACAGCCCGGTTGAGGACCCGAGGGGCTACCAGGTTGAGGAATTCGCAACACAACATCAGCTGACCTCGCTGAACACTAGCACCCTGCCAACTTTTTCCTCCTCCAACGGAGACAGTTGGATCGATATTTGTCTTGGCAATAGTATAATCACCAGAATTAATCTTACTTGTAATACCCTAGATATTCACACGGCAAGTGACCACAATTATATAGAAACGAAGATAGATCAAGTGACCCCTACCCCCAAATACTGTATATCTCAGCGTACTAACTGGGATCTTTTTTATCACCTTATTCAGATTAATTGGAACACAGAGGACATAATAAATATCACCGACTCTGCAGGAATCGATAACATCGTAAACAACCTACAATTGGTCATACACCAAGCTTACTATCAGTCCACCACTGTCAAGACTGTTAAACGTTCTGCCCCTTGGTGGAACCAAGATCTTAACAAGCAAAGGACCATTTTAAGGAAAACCAAAAAGAAACTTAGAAAAGAAACTGATCACAATAAGAAACAAGAAATTCGTACTGAATATCTGACCCTATTCAAAAACTACAAAACCTCTATCAACAAGGCAAGGACACAAGCCTGGAAAGACTTCTGTACCAAGGTTGGTAATGAGAATCCCTGGGGTACTCCTTACTACGTGGTTAATAGTAAAAAGAAAAAACTGCAGATTCCGCCTACTATTAAAATAAACAACACAGATTATACGAGCTCTGTTTCTGACACCTACCGTCATATTATCCACGAACTCTTTCCCGATGACTACCACGACACTGACGACCAATACCATCAGAATATCAGGGTCAGCATTGAGAAGGACTATTACACCACAAACGACACCCCTTTCACCACTACCGAGATTGCCAATGAATTCCGTAAATTAAAATTGAGGAAAGCGCCAGGCCCCGACAAAATCACAGCTAAAATGGCCACGATTGCCTTTAAGGCAATTCCCACATCCTTTTGCACTCTTTTAAATAAATGCTTAGACATCCATTATTTTCCAAATGCATGGAAAAAAGCCTCGATTAAATTAATACCAAAGAATAAGGAGAACAACCCTATTACGGCGTCAGACTTCAGGCCCATCTCACTACTCCCGATGATAGGAAAAGTCCTCGACGCTCTCCTCATCAACCGCATTGTTTACCACTACGAGTACAACAACATCATGAGCGACAGACAACACGGCTTTAGGAAGGGCAAAAGTACGGTTGGTGCTATTGACAACCTTATAACCCTAATTCACAAAGCTAAGGATGAGGGCAAGCATAGTATCATGGTGGCAATAGACTTCAAGGGGGCGTTTGACCACGCATGGTGGCCTGCAATATTACATAACTTAAGGAATGACAAGTGCCCCCAAAATTTATACTGGCTGACAGCAAGCTACCTTCAAAACAGGAGTATCCAGATTGATTCTGGCAACAACACTTACCACCACAAGAATATTAACAGGGGCTGCCCTCAGGGTTCCAGGTCAGGTCCGTACCTCTGGAATATTCTATATAACAGTCTTCTTAATATGCAATACAATCTGCCTAGTGAGCATCAGGCTCTTATCCAGGGGTACGCCGACGATACGGTTATCTTGCTTAGCCATGTCAATCATGAGGTTCTTCAAGACAGAGTCAACCAGACTCTTTCCAAAATTTCTGATTGGTGCAACAAAAATAAACTTCTGATAAATCACGACAAATGCCACGCCATCGTTTTCCCTAAAGAAAATATACTAAAAAAAGGGCCAAGTATTAAAATAAATAATAAAAAGATTAAAAATTCCTCCGCAGTTAAATACCTGGGCATAGTAATAGATCAAAAATTGAACTGGACAGACCACACACATTACATTTACGAGAAGGCTATGAAAGTCACTCAGGCTCTGAAAAGCATCAGCAGAAACCACTGGGGCTATGGCCCTTCCACCAGCAGAACACTCTACACCGCTGTGGTGGAACCCATCATTACCTACGGCTCTGAAATCTGGGGCTCTTCTGTCAACAAAGTCCATATAAAGAGAAAGCTTCTCTCAATTCAAAGGCTCCTAGCAATTAACATAGCTAAATCTTATAAGACTGCACCAACGGAGGCCCTCTTGGTCATCAACCGTACTCTGCCAATCGATCTCAAGATCAAAGAAAATTATATCAAATATAATCTCTGCAAGCTAGCCAACAACCTCATTAACATGGAACAATTCTGCACTACGGTTGCCAAAGAAGTATACAATACGGACTTTTGTACACTCGCTAATCTAGTGAATACCAACGGTATAGATAAGTGCTTCACGCATCAGCCAATTCATCCTAGCCTAACCTTCATTGACCCTTCCGGGAACTATCACAGTGATAATCGGACAATTAGCATTTTCACTGACGGGTCCTACTCCGAACTTGGGGTGGGCTGCGCCATGGTAGTTCACAAAGGAAATCATTGTCTCCATCAGTGGAGCAGGAACCTTGCCTCTCACTGTACCATTAATCAGGCGGAGTCCTACGCCATTTACAATGCCATCAACTGGATAGTAAATAATCAACATAAGTGGCTCAACCATAACTTCTGCATTCTCAGTGATAGTCGGACAGCAATCCAGCAAATCATTAATGCCAATAACACGCTTCCTATCGTAAAGGACAGCATAAACAAATTACAGGATCTACAAAGAATAAACATCAGGGTCGCTATACAATGGGTCAAGGGGCACTCTGGGAACGCAGGGAACGACAGGGCAGACCTTCTCGCTCGTATTGCCCCTACCAGGGCCACCAACTTCAGCTACCATAAAATCAGCAATAGACGTCTTCGCAAACTGACGCATGACATAATTTTGAAAACATGGAAAATAAGGTGGGACAATTGCACAACTGGTAGGCTGACCCACAGATTCTATCCTTCACCAACGGATAGTCTCAGTCACCCCCTCTTCCCCTCCTTCCAAGTCACGCAGCTACTGACGGGGCACGGGAACTTGAACTCTTACCTAAAGAGGTTCCTTCATAAATCAAATGGGCTCTGCAATTGTGATATGAATGAAGACGAAGACGCACACCATATCATTTTCTTATGTCCCTTCTACAGGACACAGAGAAAGACACTTGCTCAAGTAATCAACAACAACGGTATCCACTGGCCCTGTGAACTCAAGGCATTCACCGAGGATAAGACGAATTTCAACGCTCTCAAGCAGTTTGCTGCTAGTATTAAAAAGCTAGATTAACCGGGAACAATCTCTTGGTAGCGGACTCTGGACTATCGAGATTGTCTATCCGTCCCTAGCTCTGGTGTTCCACATTCTCTGCCACTCAGCCTTATGTATCTGCTGTTTTCTTGTGCCTGTACTGACAGGCTGGTGTTCTACTATATGGTTCTTCAATGCTGCATGCTGTTCTCCATTGTATCTCGCAGTTACCCATGACATTTGTCGAACAGCATCTTCTGTTTCCTACTGTAATTTCGCCATGCTCATTGTAATTGCTTACTCTATTTCTAGGTAATTATTGTTATCGCTATTCATGTCATTACATAATTATTGTTATTTGTATTTGTTGGTATCTCATGTAACCCTATGTATTACTCGCAGTGTTATCTGCGATCTCACCAACATTTGTCGAACAGCACCTACTAATTATTTGTCCTGTCTAATGTTAATTATTTGTAGTGTTATCACACTCTATGTGATAATCTTAATGTAAATCATTGTTTATTTCGGTATCTCATGTTTCAACATTATTACGTATATAATATATTTGTCTTCTGGATCATCGACGCTCCCATGCTGTTCCCTGTAAACGCGATTTTTTCAGACGTATGTCTTTCAGCATCCTCTGTTCGCTTTTGTAATTACGTCACAGCTTTTAACAACTGTATTACTATATACTTCTGTATTAATGTGTAGACTCTACTCATGTATAATCATCATGTATTTGTTTGTATTATTTGTTTATGTTTTCCATGTAACCCATTGTATTCTCTTTTAATAAATGCCGATGCAGGACGCCCATGGGTCCCATGACCCTGGTTGACTATATTTCTTCTATCCAATCTTACTTTACTTCCCCTTCTCTCTAACCCCTTCTTGGCTACTTTACTCCTTCTTCAACTTCTACACCTATAACGGGCTATACCTCTGAGTTCGGCCTCGTTTCTTCCTTTCTTAACACTGTCTATAGCAAGGGAGAGGGCGTCGAGTCGCTGACCAGTGAAGACGTGCTGCACTTCGCTCCGTTTTTCGATCGTTCCATCGGCGGTTCTACGGATTAATCGTCCAAGTGTGTTACATCGTTAGAATCGTCGTAACGTAAGCTCTTGATTAGCGTTTATTCTATTTAATTCGGCCCACGCGTTTTCGAGTTACGGCCGCCGGAAGTTTCCGGATTTCCGCCGTCTTTTTCCGCGTGGTTTCCGCGAGTAGCCCATTAAGTCATATATCATTCTTTTCGGCGTTTCACGCTGTTTTATCCGCCGTCGACCGTTTTTCGATCGGTCGATTAGTTTGCGGATTATCCCGACCGAAAGTTGTACTCGATCGGGCCGTTCTGCGGGCCTCTCGGGCTACGGATCATTTTCACGTTCGGGCAGTTCTTAGCTGTCTACCCAGTTTTTATGGGTATAAAGTTTCGGGCCGATACGTGCATTAATTTTAAAGTTACGATAATTTTAAGGTTTCTGTAGAACAAAGAGGTTTAAGGTCATTGACCTCTAGCACGTGGTCGGGTCACTATCCTAGTCGACCCTAATTCGGCGGCTTTTTTCGATTATTTCTCGGGCTGTAATAGCCGCATCGCTTTGTACTTTATATCGTTTAAACTGTTAAATTTAGTTCTTTTGGTAATATAAGTCTTATAGCTAAAAATTTTATATTTGTTATTAATTTTAATTTTCGGGCTTTTCTTGCTATATTTTCATCGGATTACCGCTAGTATAAGTATATTTAGTATTTATTAGTATAACCTAGTTTATAGATTTACAAATATGTGTAATGGAAGACATGGAAGGTGATATAGACTCCTCAGCTACAGAGTGTGAGGATAACCCACGGTCCAACACGCCGACCAGGTTCACTTCAGCAGAAGAAACCTACAATACTTTGGAAGCTCAGCTATTAGCTGAATCGAACCAACACCTTCAGAGGATTATGGACCTCCTACCACAACCTAGTAAATCAAACCCCACCGTACCGGAAAAGGCTGAGATCAAGGAGAGGGTGACTTCAATGTTCGCCACGATAAATAAATTATACGGAAGTCTGGTTGAACTCAGAGCCACCCAAAGCAACACGCCAAGCATAATGTGTCAGTGTAAGCCAGTTCAAACCGTGCAAACACCAACTTACTCGGAAATACTCAAAACAAACATACACCAGAGCACTACGACGAAAACTATAAACAGATCTTTAAGTAGAAAGATCCAGAACGAGGGAAGTAGCAGCAGCTACGCCCTTATGGTCTATCCAAAGGAAACAGACAGCGGAACCACTAACATGGGGAAAATACACAAGGAAATTATAAAAGGAGTGCAACCTGATAAACTAAAAATAAAGGTTACAGCTATTAAGCGGGTGAAAGGTGATGGCCTCTGCTTCCGCACAAGCAGTAGGAGGGATGCCATCATATTGGAACAAGCTGTGCAAGGGCTACCGGCGGTACAGCCACAAGTCAAAACAAGAGTCTCAGAGGGCAGGCGGCCGAGGGTTATCTTACTGAACGTCCCGAACTCGGTTGAAGATGACAACATAGTCAACACGATATACCAGCAGAATGACACATTAAATGGATTAAGCAAAGAAGACTTTGAGGCTTCAACCAGGGTAAGCACCACCCTCACAAGAGGTAACACTAAAGAAAATTGTAGGCACGTAGTGCTTTCCACCTCACCGCATATAAGGAATCTTCTCATAAAGGAGAAATACGTTTCCCTCTTATGGGCTAACATTCTCATTGATGACTATGTTCATATTACCCGCTGCTATCAATGCTGCGGGTACAATCATCTCGCCCGGGAATGTTCATCTAAACAGTACTGCAGCCACTGCTCAAAATCGCACAAATACAACGAGTGTACTAGAAGAGAGCAGCCCTCATGTTGTGTAACTTGCAAGATGGCTAATAAGGACTTGCCCCCTGAAAAACGGCAGCCCACAAACCATAATGCCTTCGACCCGAAATGCCCGCATACAATCAAGTTAAGAGAACAGATTATAAAACAAACAAACTATGGGTACGAATAATCAACAAACGAATCTCAAGCTGTTACAGATCAATCTGCAACGTTCAAAGGCTGCCTCTACCGAAGCGATGCACATGGTTAACACCCATGGCACAGACATTCTCGTTGTGCAAGAACCTTATTGTTACAACAGGGAAATTGCCCTATTCGGTAAACTCAACATTTTCAAGTACTCGGACCCTAATGATAACCCCCTGACCGGCATTATTATGGTTAACAGAAGTATCAACGCCCATCAGCTAACCCAACACACAAGCAAGTACCACACCACAATAATTACCAAAATGGACACGACTGCCATTGCAATCATCTCATTTTACTGCCCACCCTCCGAAGATATTACACACCCCCTGGAAATGCTTCAAGACACTATAGAGCAACTTAGTGGGATACCGGTTATGGTCGCTGGCGACTTCAATGCCAAGTCTCAGGTCTGGCATAGCCCAGTGGAGGACCCGAGGGGGTACAAGGTTATGGAGATGGTTAATAGTTTGGACCTTCGGTCCATGAATACCAGCACCCTCGCTACCTACTCGTCTTCAACTGGGGAAAGCTGGGTCGACATCTGCCTGGCAAACCGTCATCTCATCCCCTACGGGGTAATGTGCACCACTCTCAACGTGCAATCTGCCAGCGATCATCGGTACATCGAGACCATACTCAGGGCCGTTAGGGTGGACAAACAACTTTGTACCCGACATAAGACCAACTGGAAGCTTTTTCAAGATCAAATCCGTTCAAATTGGATATCTGGCCCGATAATGGACATGGACAAAACCGCACTTGAAGACGCTATTGACAAGCTGCAAAAGCTCATCCTCGCGGCTTACCAAAACAACACTAAGGTCTACACGTCCAAGCAATCCGCCCCATGGTGGAACAGTCAGCTGACCACCAAAAGAAAGGCCTTGCGGAAAGCGAGGAACAGATTCAGGCGTGAGTCTGACCAAGAAAGGCGAGAAGCTCTCCGTCAGAACTACTTAACTTTGTTCCGGGAGTATAAAACATCAATCTGTAAGGCCCGGACAGATTCCTGGAGAGAGTTCTGTACAAATCTGGGGAATGAGAAACCCTGGTCTACCCCGTTCTATATAGCCAGGGGCAAGGTCAAAAACTGTAGGATACCTAACAACTCAGATAGTAACATAAACAATCCTAACACTACTATAGAAGATACCTATCATCGTATCCTTAAGGACCTATTCCCTGAAGATGACCCGTCCACCGATAACAGTGACCACATTAAAATCAGAGAAGAAAGCCTCACTTTACCCAACACCGATAATGACAGCAATTTCACAAATCAGGAGATAGCGGCTGAATTTAAGAGACTCAAACTTCGGAAGGCCCCCGGCCCTGACAATATCACCCCAATTATGGCTAGGAAGGCCTATGAGGCCATCCCATCAACCTTCAGCGTCATTTATAACAGATGCCTGCAAATGGCATACTTCCCCAACACATGGAAAATTGCATCCATTAAGCTTATTCCTAAAAACAATAGCCAAACTGATTCCACTGGGTATCGGCCAATCTCTCTCCTCCCGGTCCTGGGAAAAATCCTAGATGGCCTCATGGTTAAGAGACTAACGTATCACTGTGAGCACAATAAATGCTTAAGTGACAATCAGCACGGCTTCAGGAAAGGTAAGAGCACGATAACGGCATTGGACACATTAGTCAACTATATCAAGGATGCCAAACACAGAGGCGAGCACACCATGGTGGTCTCGATAGACTTCAAGGGTGCCTTCGACCATGCATGGTGGCCGGCGATCCTCTGCAGCGTCAAGGAAACTGCGTGCCCGAAAAACATCTTTGCCTTGGTTAAAGATTATCTAAACAACAGGAAAATAACTGTCATTAATAACAGCCAGTCACATTTTTACAACAACATCAACAGGGGCTGTCCACAGGGGTCCAAATCTGGCCCTTTCCTGTGGAATATTATGTATGACAGTCTCCTCAAGCTAAGCTCTACCTTCCCTGGTGACAACATCTGCAGCCTACAGGGCTATGCAGATGACACGGTTGTGGCACTCTCCCATAAAAATCAAGAAGTTCTACAAGCCAGAGCCAACGACATCTTACGTGTTATCTCTCAGTGGTGTCACCGGATGAAGCTAAAGGTTAACTACGACAAAAGTAACTGCATTATTTTTCCTAGGTCCACCCCACTACAGAAAGGACCCATCATCAAGATGGACGGAAAACGGATCAAGAACTGCGACAGTATCAAGTATCTGGGGGTGATACTTGATAATAGGCTAACGTGGAAGCACCAGACTCACTATGTATATGAGAAGGCAGTTACCGTGTTACACTCCCTGTCCTCCATTGCGAGAAATCACTGGGGCTACGGTAGCAGGGCCTGCCGTCTCTTGTATGTCTCAGTGATTGAGCCAATCTTGACTTATGGCTCAGAGGTCTGGGGGACCTCGGTTGCCAAAGTACACGTTAAAAGGAAACTCCTTTCCGCCCAAAGACTTGCTCTGATCTCTATGACTAAGGCTTATAGGACCGCCCCCACGGATGCTCTATTAGCTATCGCCAATTTGATCCCAATTGATCTTATTATAAGGGAAAAATATTGGGTCCACCAACAACTAAAGCATGCTAAGAGGATATTTACTACCAACGACCTAAACAAGCTTATGGGTAATCTTGTGGATAACACGGACTTAAGTAATATCACGGATTACCTCAATAACCACGAACTGGACTACAACTATCAGCAAACGACTTACCACCCCAACATCTCCCTGGACGATCACTTCTTCCTGGAAGGCCCCACGACCCATGCTGGGCTCAGCATCTACACAGACGGCTCACGGTCTGTGGAGGGGGTGGGTTGTGCCTTTATTGTCACCAACAACGGCAAGAACATTTACCAGGCAAGCCACAAACTGGCCAAACACTGCACGTCTAATCAGGCAGAGTCCCTGGCCATATACAGGGCTCTGCAGTGGATCCAGAGGAACACGACCATTTACAAGATTAAGGACGTTACAATATACAGCGACAGCCGGGTGGCTCTGCTGCAGCTAAAAAACTTCAATGTTAAGCACAGCATTATCCATAACAGCGTGAGTCTTCTTCTCTCGCTCTATAGGGACATCAATATCAATTTTGCTTGGATTCGTGGCCACAGTGGGGTCTACGGCAACGAGAGGGCCGACCTACTGGCTTGTACTGCTCACACTCATAAAGGTAATTATTCTTTCGAGTGTATCCCGTTCATCTGGCTGAAAAACGCCATCAGGAACTACTCTTGGTCCACATGGCAAAATAGGTGGGACACTAGTCCCACCGGTAGGCTTACTCACAGCTTCATTCCGAGCGTCCGGAATAGGAGCAGCTACAAGCACTTCGTAACCACCTACCAAATCACTCAGTTAATCACCGGCCATGGCAACTTCCGCGGCTATCTGCGGAGGTTCCTGAACAAAACTGATGGCAGGTGCTCTTGTGTCCTTGGTGAGGAAGAAGACCCAAACCATATCATCTGGAACTGCCCGAACTTTAGGACGCCCAGAAATATCTTAATCAGGACAGTGCAAGACAACAACGAGTTATGGCCATGCCAGAACCACAGCCTAATCGACAACGCAAAGTATTACAAGACTCTTAAGAAGTTCGCCACCGAGATAAAAATATTGGACTAACCGCCCCAAAGTGGACTCTCTACTCTCACCCTAAAGGCAACCGGCTCCTTCAGGTAATTGGCTCCTGCTCAAGGAGTCTATAATTCTTCTCGCGTGTCGACACTGTATATATTAATCACCAAGTGTGTTTCGCGGTTATTTTATTATATGCATATTCATTATTTTGTTAATTATTTCCTAATTTCAATCATTTTAATTTTTATTTTAATCAATTGTCGCGCCATATGGTGAAGCAATTTGTTTGTCTCGCGATTACTTCAGCTTATGTTACCTCCTTCAACGGTATCAATGGCTTACACCATATGAGAATTCGACAAGTCTGTCGCGCGCTATGTTTATCATTTATTATCTTATCTAATTGTCGCGCCAATTAACGATGTAACTTATTGTCCCGTGCTTTCGTCGCATTTACATCTTTTGCCAGTATTCTTACCCTATTTAATTGTCGCGCCATTCATCTTGTAAAGCTCCCATTCCCTGGGGCATGTTTCTGTTATTCTCGACACTTCTACATCATTTCAATATTGTATACTAGGCAACAATTTGCCTGTCTGTTCTTGTCTGTGTCACAATTTCCATACTGTAAAGTATACCATTGTCGCGCCACATTTCTATGTATCGCTTGCTATGTCATCTTCACTGCTATCTGTACTTGTATTTTGCTATTTTATTAATAAATGCCGATGCAAGGCGCCCATGAGCTCCTAACCTTCAAACTTTCCTATCAACCTTTCATTCACCTTCACCTATACCCTTCGCATAACTATCTCTCCTTCTTTCCTTTTCTGGTTTCGGGGCTATACCTCTGAGTGCGGCCCGTCACCAATTCCCACGATGTCTATAGCAAGGGAACCAGACTCTCGAAGAAACACAGGCTGCCGACACTTTTAAAGGCTTACGATAAAACCCAAGAAATATCAACAAAGATACATATTAGTGAATTTTTGCAAAGCCAAGATTCTCACCCTAGCTGTCATATTCTATAAAATTTGTGACATCTGGAAATCATTCTTCAAAATGGTTGATAAAGATATCCCTATTAGAAGTTATGAAGAAGCTGTCGTCGAAGCAAGGAAATTTGGTGCTACTGATACGATAACATTCTATCCTTCACTACTATTAACTGTACCAAGAGGAGGACCTTTCATCCAAAAAATGCAAGGCAAATCATATCGAGAAAAGTCAGCCATATTAGGACAGTACTTTAATGAGGCTTCTAGTAATGCAGCACCTATGGCAGGTATGTTGTGGCTTCATAGCAAAACCTTCTTTGATGCAGCACTAAAAGCAATGAGTAATGAAATCATCAAGCCCATAAATGAAATATATGAAGAATTCACACATGGTGAAATGGGCACGGAAACTGCACTAAGAGTATACCAAAATGCTGTAAACAAATTTCGGGATTCTCTAAAGAATGAACTTAATCATGCAGAATTCTTTGCAATAGAAGGACACACCAAAACCACTCTTAGAGTAGGTCAAGCTGTTCTTGCAACTTTAATGAGAATGCTGGCTATCATGATTGAACAGCGAGCTGAGCGTTTAGCTGTGGATGGCAATGTCAGGAGACCCAGTCCAGCATACATGGAAGCTTTTGTTACCTGGTTAGCAGACCCAACTCAGGAATACCAAGGCCGTGTCCCATTTGATAAAAGACAAGCAACTTTTAGAAAGGAAGCTATAAGGTATAAAAAAGAGGATGAAGCCAATTTCAAAGGGAAAGGATTCCTCCTTTTAGCTACTACCATAGCAAATCAGACACAAAAGAAAGATCCAGAGTACATTAATAAAATAGTTGCAACAGATGATCCTATCCTTGAAACAGCCATCAAGGAAGCAAAACTTCTAATAGCAGGAGTAGGCAACCAAGGTGCAAGCATTTTCCAGCAACAGATTGCATCAGCTGATATTATATTTAACTCCTATTACTGGTTACGAAAGTTAGGTGTAAACAGCAGAAATGGATTCAAAGTTGTCAACAGGTTCCTTTATCAGTTAGGACTAGCACCCATTGGCACAGAAAAAAGAGAAGAACTCGTTCGAAGAAACAGAAGTGAACTTATAAGAAGATTCACTGAGTTCACTACAACTCTAACCAACATATACACACCACCATTCATTTGTACCTACTCAAGATTAGATGATATGATACCAGTACTGGGTAGTATTTGTGTGACCAACTATGCAAATACAGTGATCAAACAGTCCGCTAGCTGGAGAAACAGCATCAACATGAAAATTGATGTAGAAGAAACACTCAGAATTGTGACCGACCTTTTCCTAGTCGAAGAAATAGCCAATCTAGGGGAAGGCAATAACATATATAGAAGCCTCCATTTGTTTCATCAACTATTACTGACTAAAAAGTCACCATATGAATATGCAGCTGGAATTGTTGGTAATGCTCTGCAAGTTGAAATCTTTGGCAAAGGGCAACTGAGTAAACCAAAAGCACTCCCAGCACCAGGCAGCACCAAGTCCGAAGGATCTACATCTGCTCAAGAGGAAGGAGAAACCTCAGCAGGTGTTCAAATTGAAGAAGTAGAATAGTTCCAAACTGTAAAATTTGGCAGCTATATACTCATTTTAATATAGTACAAATTGTTCTTTTAATACTTTCTTTGAATTTTAACTTAATTTTATTTTATTTTATTTATTTAATTTGTTTATTTACATTGTTAATTTTAAATGTCTATTTTAATTACTTTTATTTCTATTAAATTATACTCATTTTAAGCCTCTGGCAAAAGCACAAGCAGAGGTCAAAATTCATAGTTTACTATTCTTCAGCAGTACAAAACCTGAAGACAAACCCATTTCAGAATCTGCACCAGACCAACATCTAGCACAAACAAGCTCTTACTCAAACTCACAAATAGAGAACAAGCCGAATTAATAAAAACCACCACCATCAAACCAATTTCAGGAAATAAAAAAAACAAGCAGGCAGACACCAACAGGCACACATAAACAATAGCAAAATCAGGTAGACAACAAGTAAAGTAGGACAGAACAAAACAAAACTAAGTAAAACAAAATAACAGACCAAATTTAGAACAAATGGAACAGATAAATAAAATAAATAAGATAAAACAATAAACACAAGAACACAAACAATAGGAATGATGGGAGGGTAAATATATTGAAGTATAATATATAAATAATGAAATCATAAGATTCTTAAATAGAAAACAGAAGTGGAAATAATTAATAATACAACAAGACAAAATAAAACAAATAAATAGACTACATAAAATAAAATGAAACAAATAAACTAAAATAAATAACAATATAATAATAAAATAAATAAATAAATACAATAAATAAATAAATATAAAATTAAATAATACAATTTTAGATTAAGACAATAGATACAATAAAGAAATAAACAAACAAATAAGAAAATAAAATAAAGTATTAAATGGAAAATAAAAGGTGGGAAATAAAATTAAGGAAATATAAATATATAAATATATAAAATAATAATAAAATAATAACAATAAAACAAAAAAACAATAAAATAAAATATTAAATATATAAAACAAAATGTAAATATAGATAAATAAAATAATAAAATAAATAAAAAATTGCTATATTTTTCCTTAATAATAATTGTTATAGTACGAAAAGGAAAGTAATTTTAAAATTACAATTTATATTTTATATACATTCTTTCTGGAAGATTTGTCGATAAGCATAGTAATAAATGTAATAAATATGTATAAATCCCATTTCAATAAAAGATATTTTGTATATTAATATGGATTTACGAAGGAAAAACATTAAAATTTAAACTATATATTTATTTACTGACGGAAAAAGGAAAAATGGCCGTTCTTGAAATAATCAAAACTTATTTATTTTTTAATATATTTATTACTTTTCCGGCTGTTATATATAACAGAAGAGAAAGTATGGCGTTAGGTCAAAAGAATGATCATCAAGATTTTTATATTTTTAGACTTAGTACACCTTGAAACGTCGAGAAATGCAAAAAAGTTCGGGGGGTAATTTCTGTGTGTGGGGGGAGCGCGATTTTGTTCACCCTGTTTATAGCTTAATAACTCTTGTACTTTTTATCGAAAATTTCTGAAATTTTATAGGAAGGTTCGTTTACTAGTTCGATTAATGCTGTTAAATTTTGGTGGTTAAAGGTCAAGGGGGTGAAGAGATAATGGGAGTCGTATCTTCAGTAGGGTCGGACTTAATGGCAATTTTACTCGTTATTAGCATTTACAATTGTTTTTATATAATANAAATAATAGATGATTTAAAATGAATGATTAATATAAAAATGATAAATTAAAATGTAAAATAAATAAAAATACAAAATTATAAAAAAAGAAAAAACAAATAAACAAAAATACAAACAAACAAGCAAACAAAAACAGAAAACAAAAACAAAACAAAACAACAATACAACAACAACAACAAAACAATAAAATAAAACAATAGACAAATTATAAACAAAACAGACAAAGAACCAAAAATGGGTAAATAAAACAAAACAAAAATAAATAAATATATAAATAAGAAATAAATAAATAAATTAGGAAAATAAATAAATAAGTGAAAATTAAATAAAATTTAAATAAATAAATAAACAAATAAATAATTAAATAAATAGAAAGATAAAAGACAGAAATACAGCAATATAGTGCACAAAATAAGTAGTCTATTCAAATATAAATAGGTTAATAATAAAATACACAACTAAAGTAAATGAGTAAGAGACAGGGTCAAAGAATACAAACAAAACCCAACAAAGCAGAGAAACAGGAAATCAAATCAGACACTTAGCATCCTTTATTTAGCAAAATGGAAATAATTAATAAAGTGGAAACAGTAAATAAGGTGAAATGTAAGATCCATTTCTTAGAAACTTATGAGAAGACAATTTTAAGTTAAATTTAATGTTAAGTTTTAATCTGAAATTCAGGTTTTAATTTGGTTTTAAATTCAATTTCAATGAGAAAATAATTCAATCCTTTAATTTTAAATTAACTTAAAATTAATTGCCCTTGAAATTTGTCACAAACTTTTACCTCAAAATCTCCAAATTGATTTCGATCCTTAGTTTACAAATTAACTCAAATTCACTCCAACTTATCCCATTCTTCCAAACAGATCCAAACAACAGAATCATCAAGACTCAGCCCTCAACGCAACCACCAAAACTTAAATATCTATAACAGTTAGCAGCAGGATAGGTAAACCAATAAGCAATATTCCACAGTGCAGACCAACACTGGATCACTCCATTAAATCAACACCAACCAAAGTCCATCAATCACTTCTTATTGTAATTGAGTGATAAAAAGGCATTTAATTACTGTCAGGCAGCCAGCTTTTCCGTAGAGGCAGCGTAGAGAACGGTTGGAAAAAATTTCAGCTCCTGAAAAATCGTTTTTTCATCTTTGCAGAAAAAGTGATTAATTAAGTTTTATGTATACCATCAGAAAGAGCATCAAAAGAGGGTGAGTTTGATACCTTACTTAAATAGCTAGGACCGACAGGGAAGGAGTTAGAAGGGTCCGAATTTCGGGATTTTAGAATTCAATAGCGGGGGGGTAAAGTTAGCTAGGGGGGTAAAAATTGGGTGGGACGTACAGATTAGCGTACTAGTTAAGGGGTGTAAAAATTTGGTAAGGGTAGGATTAATAGATTTCAAATTATAAGGATTTTAGTTTCATCCAATCAACTTAAACCACTGTAACGGGTTATAACGGCCGTCCATTACTTTTAGCATTAGTAACGGCTTTTTCTAACGGCATCTTAGCTAATAGATTACGTCATATTAACTTTAATACGACAGATGGTCAATGTCTAGACGCCAGATGGTCAATCCAGACGATGACTCAGACATAAGCCAGACAGCATTGTTGTACTTAGACGCCAGATGTTTTTAAGTTGAACACCTGGCTAGCTAATTACGTCATCGATTACCGTAACCGATCTTATAAAATATATTACCGTTATTATAATTAGACTACTTTGTATTCCTGTAATAAATTATCATAGTTATTTTATAGTGTTAAATTATAGTGTTTAAATAAATTTATCTATCTTTTCGTACTGCTCTGCAAAGAGCTGTCTTTGTGGGACAGTACTGCGTGGCACAGAGCCGCTATTACACAAAAAACTACCCTTCTAGATATAGTGGTTGTTACTAGGCTAGTAATAGGGGGAATTAGGTAATTGATTGAGGTTTTAGAGGGTGGTTTTAATAGAGATTTTAAGGTCAAATGGAGACAGTGGGAATGGAAAACACAATACTGGACGAATTGACTCAGGAGACGGAGGAAGAGAGCATGATGGGAGATAATAATGGAATAAATGAGATTTCAACAGAAGAAGAAATTCTAAGTGAGGCAAAAACTCAACTTAGGAAAATACTGAACTTACTACCAAATCCATATCGCACAAATATAAAAACAGAGGAACGTAAAGAAATAAAAGAAAGAGCGATGCAATTATACGCAGCAGTAAATCAAATGTTTGGGATAGTGCAGGAAATGCGGAAAGAGAAAGATAAACAGGAAAAAAGAATATATCAACCTTCTGAAGAAATAAATGAAACTAGGGGAAAGGAACGAAGCACAAATGGAATGGAGAACCAACAAACATACGCAGACATAGTGAAGACAAATTTACAAGTGATGCAAAGTCAAACTACAAGAGTGATAAATAAGAAAAATGCAGAAGGGGATAACAGCGCGGTATTAATCTATCCAAACAATACAGAAAGCTCTGAAATTAATATGAAAGATATAGAAGAAAAAATAAAAAATCAAATAGAACCACATCAAATTAAGGTTAAAGTAAAACAAGTCAGGAAAGTAAGAGGGAATGGTATTTGTATACGGGTGGGAAGTGAGGAAGAAGGAAATAGGCTTAAACAGGCCATAGAAGAAATAGATGAAATAAGACAACTGATAAATTGCAAAACATCCACAGGAAAAAAACCTAGAATCATCCTATTCAATGTACCAAATAGTATAGAAGAGGATAATCTAGTGAAAATAATGGGACAACAAAATAATATTTGGAGAGATATGGATGTAAATGATATAATGAAAAACTGCAGAATAAGTACAATAATAAGAACAGACAGCTGCAGAGAAAACTGCAGACATGTAGTGATCAGTGTGACACCAAAAATTAGAAAAATACTAATAAATCAACAAAAAATAGCGTTATCATGGACCACAACCAAGGTAGACGATTTCATACCTGTAACGAGATGTTACAGATGTTGTGGTTTTAACCACTATGCAAAAGACTGCAAAAAAGAACAAACATGCAGTCAATGCACAAAACGACACACTTATAAAGAATGCCAGAAAACACATGATATACCTACATGTATAAATTGCATCCAAGCAAACAAAAATTTACCTCCTGGAAAGAAAAAGTCAACTAACCACAATGCATATAGTAAACAGTGCCCATTGTATTTAAAAATAAAGGAACAAATTATAGAAAGAACAAATTATGAGCATTGAAAACAGAAAACAAGAGTTAATAAATAACAAGGAAAGAATGAATCA